GATGACTATGACTGTGATTCATAGTTGAGTGAGGTTAGGTTGATGACTATGATTCAACCATTTTTTTCATTTTTTTTTTCGATTGAATTTGTAATTAAGAATATTTTTAGCTTCAAGCGGAAAATTCAGTGATATACAATTTATTCAATTACAATCACAATCATCATCATCATCATCATCATCATCATTATCGTCATTACGAAACAAAATTGGCTTCAAGCTAATCAGAAGAAGAAGAAAATCTTTTGCTAAATTGGCAATTTATTTTCTTCGTTTCAAAATTTTCCTGACAATTTTCAAAGAAGAAGAAGAAAAAAAATCCAATAAATCAAAAGAAAAAATTCTAATTAACATCAAGGGAATATTTCCCGAATTTTTTTCCGGGAAAATTCCCAAAAAATATATTCTGTTTCGATCGATTTTTTTCCGGTTTTTTTTTGCCGAAAAAAAATTGAAATTCTGAATGAATGAATGCATCTGGAATGTCGATCAATTCAATCTTTTGTTGTTTGAAGTTTGTTTTCAATTTCTTTTCTTTCTTTTCTTTGATTATGATCAAAGTGCAAAGTCTGGCAAATCGTATACACAGTGAATGTGTGTTTAAAGCATTTTTTTTCATTTGTAAAAAATATTTGATAAATATTTGAACAAATTGAAAAGAAAGTTTCTTTTGGAAACAAAAAATATTTGAAATTTCTTTTTCGGGTGTGTATTGATGAATGAATGCAATACATGACGAGATGAAAGAAAATTCCTGGCAATCAATTTTTGTCTGTCTGTTTGTCTTTCCAAAAAAAAACATTTTCGGCAAAATTTTCTAATTATTTTGCTTGTTAAAAATTCAAGCAAAAAAAATTCGGCATTTCTTTCTTTCTCGGATCGTTTTACAATTTCAAAACAAAAAAAAAACAATAAAAAACAAAATAACAAAAAGAAAGAGAAAATTCTGTGAAATTCTGCTACTGTCAGTAGCATCCTTGCCATTCGAATGCATGACATATGAACAATCGGAGAAAATTCAACTAAAGTAAAATGAAATAAAATAACCCACATACCAAACCGACCAAACGATGCTCTCTCTCTCTCTCTTTTGGGAGTTATCAGCCAAAAAGTTTTTGCAAAATTCTCGTTTTTTTTTCCTCACAGAATAAAATTCATTCCAAATGGATCACCCACGCACATTGTATCGTATTCCTACAGCAGAATCGACGGCGCAAAATCATCATTTAACAACAAAAGATTCTCATTTTCTTCTCACATTATCATTATCTATGGTCATCGGCTATAATCGTTTGTTGTTGTTTGGTTGGTTGTTTGGTTGGTTATCCCAAACAACTTTTGTCCGATAAATAAATTCAGGAAAAAAACATCACCCTATAGAAAATGACAGAAAAAAATTTCTTTAGGCCGCATCATCATCCGGAATGCATTCTTCTTCTTCTTCTTTTTGGTGAAAGAAAACAAACTTTTCTCTCTCTCTTAACCTTGTTGTCTTTTTCTTTTTTTTCAAACTGCAAAAGACAACAAACAAACAGAAAACAAATCAAACCGATTAGGTTGTATACGAGAAAACAAAAAACAATGAAAGAACCTCACTCTTTAGTTTAATTATAAAATCGATAATTCTGTACATCTCTTGGATGGCCGTAGAAGAAGCAAATTCACAATCACCGTTATTCACCATTCAAACCGAACAAAGTTCAAGCACAAAATACAATTTCGAATTCGAATTCTTTCCATTCATTTCATTCATTCATTCTGTTCATTCATTGATTCTATTAACCCAAATTTTGGACAAAGAAACTGCAGAACCAGCTAGAATGGAAAAGAAAAAATAGTGAAAAGAGAATGGAAAAGTTTTCATTTTTATTTTTTGTTTCGGAAAAAATAAACCTCTTTTTTTCTCATTTTTTTTGTAAAAAAATATGAAACGGGCGTCTGTTGTTGTTGTTGTTGTTATTCGACGTTATTAAACCAAAATAATGATAATAATGTTTGAACGGAACTTGAAAAAACGAAAAAAAATCTACCCAAATTATCATCATCATCAACAACAGCAGCATCTTTTAATGGGCAACATGCAAATATGGAAAAAAAAATTAGACGAAAGAAAAAACTTGCCTATTTAATGAGCCAAAACAAGAGGAAAAAAGTTTTCTTTCGAAGAAGAAAATAAGATTACCCCAAGACTAACAAGGAATAATAAGGAAAAAGAGCAAGCAAGAGAGAAAGTGGACAGAATTTTGCAATCGTAGCGAAAAAAGAGGAAAGAATCCTATTATTTATAGGGCCTAAATTCTTTTTGGAATAAATAATGAATGAATGAATGATGATCATTCATTCATTCAAGAAAGAAAGAAAGAAAAACTTTGAATTTCCCAATTGTATATTATCAATGCTTGTTCCATTCATTCATTCATTCATTCATCATCATTGATCTTTGGTAAATTTATTTGAAGAATCTTTCTCGGGAATTTTTCTGTTTTGAATATAGAAAAATATTGGCCCTCAAAGAAAAAAATTTATTCAAATTCAAATCAAGGAAAAAAATAATAGCAAGAGAAATATTTCCGAAAAAAACTTTATCATTTTTTTCCCGGAAACATTTCTTCATTAACAATATTTTTTTTTATTTCAATATCGTCTACGTATTTCATCATTATCATTATAATTTTTGTTGTTGTTGTTGTTATAGTTTGTTTTATTACAATTATCATTTTGTAATGTTTTTTCCTGATTAACAATTAAAAATTGTGTTTCATTATTAAATTGTTGTTGTTGTTTTGGTTGTTGTTGTTGTTTTAGTTGTTGTTGTTGTAGATTAAAAATTGATGATGACGATGATGTATTATTGTTTGGCTTTTCCATCATCATCATCATCGTTGTTGATGATGTAGCTACTGGTTTTGTTGTTGTTGTTTGATCAGTTCCAGAACAATTTGATGATGATGATGATGCGGATGATGATAAAAGAATTGGTGATGGTATAATTTGATGTATGGATGATGATGTCGACGATGATGATGATGGTGAAGGTGATGGACAATTTAATGGTGTTGTCATTGTTTTAGTTGTTGTTGTTTTCGTCGTCGTTGTTGTTTTGATCGATCCAATATAATCATAAATTAATCCACCAAATAGACCAGCAAGTAATGGTGATATCCAATAAATCTTTCAGTTGGGAGGGAAAAACAAAAAATATTTCAGGTAAATTCAGGTAAACAAAATGAAATAAAATGAATGATCTTGCTCTATTTACTCAACGGAAAAAATATGTTGCCTAATGTCAATATTGATATTTCGAATATCTGAAAATATTATGTTTGAACAACATTTGAACTTTTCTGTTTTTTGTTTTTTTTTTCCATATCGATTGATTCGGGCATCAATTTTTTTTTCTCATTCAAATCCTAAGCTTATTCTCTCTCAGTCAGTTAGTTTCAAAATTGGTAACAATTTCTCAAATTCTCTTTTTTTTGCAGTGAAAAAACAACAACAACCATATTATAGATCAATCAATGGATTGTGTAAACAAACGAAACTAAAAAAAATACAGAATATTCTGTTCTCCTAACTCTGCTCTAATCATCCAGCGCCAAACATCATTGATTATGCAATCGTGCAATGCTTGTTTCACCAGAAAAAAACAATCATCCAGAATTCTCATCAGAATTCAGAATTTTTCTGTTTGTTTGTTTGAAATGAAAACAAAAAACAAAAAACAAAAAACAAAATAAGTATATATTTACCCAATGTAAACAATAATTTTCAGTTATAATCGATATGGCCAATGCTTTAGCTGGATTCATTGATGCACCAGTTGCAACAAACTATAAAAGAAAAAAATTTATTGATTTTTTTCATTGAATAAAATGAAATAAGAATGAAATGAGAATAAAAGGAGAAAAAACAACAAGAATTATTCAAGAAAATATTGATCAACGAAATTCATTAATGATTGATCGATTCGATTCGATTCGATCGATAATTATTGATTTACAAAACAAAAAACTTACCGCAAATAAATGTCCAACTGTATAGGCAAATCCAATTGTTAATGATTTTGATGAATCAATTATACAATTATAATTATCATTATTAACAGTATTATTATTAGTTAATTGTAAACGACGATTTGGATCACAATTAGCCAGATAGGTTAGGACAATCAAAAATGTTGATAAAAATTCAAAACCAAATATCTGTACCGTTGTTAACGTAGTTGTTGTGGAAGGCATTATCGGTATAACTGTACCGAATAAATTATAAACAACCATCATACCAAATATTGATGCAAAAATTTGTACAAATAAATATGATATTAAACGTAATATTGTTACTCGTTCAGTAACATAAAGACCAATTGTAATAGCAATTGTTAAATGACAACCACAAACATGTCCAGTACATTGTATCAATGTTGCAACGGTGAAACCAATTGCCAATGAATTTTTCAATAATTCAATACTATCGGTTTGTTGTAGTTTTTGTTGTTGTTGTTGTTCATTTGACATTGTTGTTGTTGTTGTTGTTGTTTGATTTGTTGTTGTTGTTGTAATAGTCAATATACCACAGGTAAAAATCACAAATAAAAATGTTGATATAAATTCTGTACGTAATGATTTCCAATAACGATATTCCATTAATTCTTCTGTTATGGTTAATTTTTTTGGTAATGATTCTATATATGAACGCATTGTATTTGACATTATTAAATATGATTGTTGATTCGGTTGTCTTTGATTTAATTTTTTATTATTATCGATACAATCGCCCGTCACACCATTATTATTATTATCATGGCCTGATGGCCTATGAATAGCCTGAGGTAAAGATTCAGTCATTATTGTAACATCATTTGGATTTTCATTAAATTGTCGTTCCATTCTCGGGGTTTTATCGTTTCTTCTCGGGTTTTTTTTTCGGGTTACAGAATTTATTGTGATTTTTTTTTACAATGACAAGAACATGACACCCAACCAAAAATGTAATATGATTTTTTTGATGATCCACAACAACAACAACAACAAAGAGAAGAGAAAAATCCAATGAAAAACAGATGATGTTGATCGATCGATCGATCAATCATTCATTCAAAATGATTCTTTGAATGTTTATTCTGTTTATTCAATATGGCATATTACGATGCGATGATTGAGGAAAAACAAAAAATGATTGAAAATTGAGAATGTATTCGGAAGATTCATTCGGAGAAAAATATCCGATCACAAACACACATCATCACTGTATAAACATCATTTTTTTTTTGTCCCATTCAATGTAGATTCAGTTTGATGTTTTCTGTTTTGGTATGCCGCGATGACATTTATTCTTGTCAACAAGATACACAGAGAGATATTGTGTAACCTTAACCTAACCGATTATCGAATGAAAGCGAAAGAGAGAGCGAAAAACATGTAAAACATGAAATGAATCAGACACAAACACAAGCAAACAAAAATTGATTGACAGTTTGAACGTTTGAAATTTATTGAACACCGGATGATAATGATGATGAGTTGAATGATCAAAATTGATTTAAATCGAAACGATTTCAATCAAACACACAAATCGATTTCAATCAATATTTAAAATTTAAAATTTAAAATGAAAAACAAAAACCAAAAGCAAAATTCAAATTGGAAATTAACAAAATTTTTCTATATCTCTCTTTTGGTGTTTTGTTTTCTCACTGATTTTTTGTCGTCATTATCGATTTGGAATACAAGGAAACCAAAACCAGAAAAACAAACTAAAATAATAATGATGATCACGATAAAATGACTGAATAAAAACGAAGGGCACGCTTTATTTGGTTTCGGGTTTTTGAAACAAACCAAACGAACAACACGATACGGAAAGCTCCTGGAATATTCCGAAACAAAAAAAATCATACCAGAATTTTTTTTTTTTACAATACCAGAATTACATTTGCGTGCGTGTAGTTTTTAGTAGCTACTGCTTCTGCTGCTTGATTTTGTTTTGTTTGTTGTACAACAACATTACAGAATCCAGAATCCTAGAATTCCATATACAATCCAAAACAACGAAAAAAACATTAACACACACACACGCACGATTGGAATGAAAATGAAAAAACAAGTAACTGATACGCACACCCGATGAATGATGATAATAAAAAAGGCAAAAATATTTCAAGAATCTTTTGAATACGCATGCGCTTTTTTTTGGCAAAGAATAATCTCTTTTCATTGTATTTCCATTGCTCCCTATACGTTTGTTTGGAACTAGGCGCCCAAAAAAATTCATTTTCGCCCAATGTTTTTTTTTTATTTCTATCTCGATTCTGGTTCAACATTCATACGATTTTTGTTTTTTTACTGTCTAATTCAATTCTTTCATTCATTCATTTATTTTGGCATTTATTTATGCTGCTTCATGTATGTGTGAGAGAGAATGAAATATACATTGCAATTCCCAAGATATTTTCAAACAACAGCAGAATAAAATTTTGAAATTCCGTTTTCGTTTCCTTCTTTTTTTTTGCCAAATGTTGATGATGTGCCACACATACATTTGATTTAAGAAATGAAAACAGAGAGAGAGAGAGAGAGAGAGAGAGAGAGAGAGAGAGAGAGAGAAAACTTTCCAGAAACTCAACAATCATTATGAACCATACTCATTTCCTTTCATTTTTCTTATTTTTCAACACACATACACACGANAACAAATAAAAAAGATCAAAGAGAAAGTCAAATAAGAACAGAGAGAGAGAGAGAGAGAGAGAGAGAGAGAGAGAGAGAGAGAGAAAACTTTCCAGAAACTCAACAATCATTATGAACCATACTCATTTCCTTTCATTTTTCTTATTTTTCAACACACATACACACGATTGGAATATCAAACAAACCAGAATATTTGAATGGTTCAACAAGGAAATTGAATTTGTCAGAAAATAATTCCAGAATTCAACGGAATAAAAAAAAATCACAATTTTTTTCACGAAAATTACATTATTATTATTGTTGTAAACAATTTGACAAAAAAAAATTATTATGATGCAACAACACACACACAAGGACAACGACAAAAAAAAATGACAATTACCAAAAAAATATTATTTCAGGTATACAGTACAGGACATTAACAAATATGTCGAATATGATTCGGAAATCAGTTTGTTGTGAAATGTGATGTGTGTGTGTGTTTGTAATATAATAAAAAAAATTATAGTTTTTTTTTATAAAAAAAAAATTAAATAAGATTTTTTTTCTCTCGACCCGGTTTTTTGTAATGGAATTATTTTCTACTAAAACCAGCATCACCTAATGAATCATAATCACCACCGCCGCCACCGCCACCACCTCCTAGATTGCCAAGATTACCAAGATCTTGTCCACCGAAATCATTTCCACCACCACCGCCCCCTCCAAGACCTTTAATTTTTTTATCAGTTAATTATAAAGTGTAAAATCAATGTGAAAATCACAAAACTTACCTCCAAGACCACCAAGATCATTACCGCCTCCACCTAAATTTAGGCCATTAAATCCCCCGCCACCATTAGAATTTCCACCGCCTAAATTTAGGCCATCAAGACCACCAAAGCCTCCGCCATTATTTTGACCACCTCCACGACTTCCACCACCACCAAGGCCACCAAGTCCGCCAAGCCCAGGAATTCCACCTTGTTTTTGATTTGTGATTTGATTTTTTTATAAAAATAAACATTCATCTTATTTACTAACCTCCTCCTTGCTGACCACCACCACCACCTCCAAGTAATCCAGGTAGGCCACCAAGAAGACCACCTCCACCGCCACCACGTTGATTACCACCAGTTAAACCATTTGCAAGACCACCAAGTGCTTGACCAAGACCAGCTAATGGATTTAAGCCACCTAATCCACCAAGACCACCGCCGTTGCCACCCCCACCTGTATTACGATTATAACCATTTGGTGAGCCACCTCCTAATAAACCACCAAGACCACCCAATCCGGGTTGTCGTCCACCCCCACCCCCACCACCGAAATTGGCAAGATTTTGTCCACCCAAACCATTAGAGCCACCACCACCACCACCTAAACCCGTTCCAAGATTATCATCAAATGAAAGATCTCCAATGCCCAAATTACCCAATCCCAAATTGCCAAGATTAAGATTACCTAGATTACCTAGGCCTCCAAGATCACCTAAGAAACCACCGCCACCACCTTGATTGCCTTGTGCCAAACAATGATTCGTACATATTGTTAAAATGGCCACTATGCCAATTATTTGTCGACTAGAAAACTGCAAAAAAAAAACAAAGAATTTTACAGAAAATTTTATAACAGAAACACAAAACACAAACCATCATTTATAAAATTATTAAAAGATGTTTTGAATGTCGAATTGATTGATTTTTCTTCGAAAAAACTCAATATCTTCACGTTTGATTCAAGGCAATTCAATGAATTTTGGGTGGTTTGAATGAACAGGCAATTTTTTTTTGGTTTTGGGACCGTAATTGATTTTGAATTTGGGAATATGGCGCCCAGAAAAAAAGAATATTCGATAAACGATGTTTGTACAATGAGAGAGAGAAAAAAAAATGAAATTGGTCAGTTATGTTTGAAAACAAAAAGATTGCTGTTTGTTTGTTTGTTGCTTGTTCAGGTAACACTCACATTGTTGAACTAAAATGTCGATTTTGAATTCGGACAACCAAGAATTGAAAATTGAAAACTAAAGAAAAAATGTCGTAGTCGTCGTCGTCGTAGTTTAACCTAAAACAAAAACAAAATATGAAATGAAATCAATGTTGAAGAAAACAATGGAAGAAAATTTTTTTTTTTGGTTTTTCTGACAACTTAAAACAAATCATTGTCATTTATATTCGTCAAATACTCTGTTTTATTTTTTTCGAATGTCCGATTTATTATTATTTTTTTGGGTTTCTTTTTTTGTTTCAAAGAAGGAAATTTTCCTACCAAGAAAAAAAGAAAAAGTCACATTTCATTGTTTTGTACACCTGCAATCATCATATTTGGACACCTTTTTCTTTTTTGCTGTATGTGTGGAGAAATGTTTTGGGAAATTCACTCCCATTCATTCATTCTTTCATCATCCAAATAAAAACAAAAATATTGCTCCAAATTATGACTCATAATTTTCCAAAATAGCCACACATTTGATGGATGTTGGTTGGTTGGTTGGTTGATTGATTGAATAACGTAATCATATTTTAAGAAAAAAAAACAAAGTTAAGATTTCGAAAAAAAAGAACGACCGGAACAGGATGCTGCCAAGGATTTTCTTGCTTTTGTTGTTTCATTGTTTTGGATTGAGATTTTGGTTGGTTTTTGAATCTGAACAAATTAATTTTGAAATATAGAAAAATAGTTAATTTCATTTTTGTCAATCATGAACTGGGTCAAGTTTATGTTTTACATTGTAATAACCAAAAAGCAAAACTAAAAATAGCCAAGATTCGAATGAATAAATTTGGCGGCAAAAATTGGAAAATTTTTGAATGTCGTTTTTTTTCTATGATAGATGCTAATTAACACTATATTGGCCAACAACAACAATGAAATTGATTATTAATGGGCGTCTTTATTTTCTTGGTTTAACTTAGTTTTTCGTTTTTCGTTCCATGATGAATGAGTCATTTTCATTTTCATTCATTTTTGGTTGGATCAAGTTACTTTTGGATAGAACAAGAAAAAATGAAAGTAAAATGAAATTTCTCTCAACGAAACACACTCTATAATTATGATGACAAAGAAAAAAACAGCTTTTTTCTGGATTGAAAATTCATTACACATTTATCAAATTTGATCGTTTGTATATGACGATCTTGTCATGTTAGATTTTTATTTTTTGTTTTTCATTGAATGTTTTTATCACGATAATCAGTTCATCAGATGTATTCATGTATTTGTTTGTGTGTGTCCGTGACAATTATTAAATGAAAATTTTCAACAACAAAAAAAAAAATTACTGTGAATTGAATCAACAACATTTGGAAAAACAAAAACGACAATCATTCAAAATGATTATATCATCATTAATTCGATTGATTATATTTATTATTATTATAATTGTTATCATCATCAGTAATATTGATCAATTACAAGCTATACCTGTAATAATTGATTCAAATAATAAACAACAAAAACCGCAAGAAAAATTACAAACATCAGCAAATAATCAACCACCAGGATCAACAATTAAAACAACAAATAGTAATGTTTATGGTGCTGATAATGGTTCATCGAATCAAAATGGAGACAAACAACAACAACAACAACAAAATGGTGAAAAAAATGGACAACAACCAGTAAATCAACGTGGTTATAATCAAGGTTATTCATATAATACCGGTATTAAACCATATCGTACTGGTTATACTTATTTTCAACCATTTGGTGATAATGTTGATAATCAAAATGGTAATAATAATAGTGGTGGTGGTGGTAATAATGGTAAAAATAATGTTAATGATAATAATACTAATCAACAACAATTACCAATTGAATTGCCCAATTTTTTCGGTATTGATCCAAAACAATTAGGACCAGTACGTGTTATACAGAATAAAAATTTACCGTTAGATGAAAATGGTATACCAATATTGGATCAAATTCATATACCCGAAAATACTAATGATCCAAATCAGAATAATGGTCAAACATTGAATTCACCACCACCGCAGCAAAGACAACCAGCACAAGCACCTGTACCCGTACAACCACCACCACCACCAGTTGAAATTCCTGTTAATGCAAATGATTTTGCTGATTTTAATCTGAATCAAATTCTTTCGGGTGAAAATAATAATAATCCAAATTCCAATTCGAATGGCTATAATAACAACAACAACCGTAATAATGGCGGCAATGGCGGCAGCGGAGGAATGTTTGATTTTGCACCACCAAGTACGAATAATTTTAATTTTGCCCGTCCCGGTCAAACCGGTACGGATCAAAGTGATTATAATAGACTGGATGATTTCGCTGGAAATTTGAATAACTTTGATACTTATCTAGGTGATGATCCCAGTCTGATGTTGGATGGTGATATGGGTGGCAACACTAATAATGGAAATGGCAATGGAAATCAAAATAATCAAAATGGTTTAGCTGGATTTGGTTTCGGTGGCCAACAAGTACCAAGCGAAATTGTCAATCTAAATAATGCATTCGGTACAGGTGGTGGTGGTGGAGGGGGAGGTGGAAACAACAATCAAAATAATAATGGTATAGGAAATTTAAATGATATTTTGAATCAATTTGGAACGCCAAATACAGCTGCTGCATCTAATAATCCTAATAATGATATAATGGGTAATTTGGGTTCATCATCATCGACCGATGTGAATGAAATATTTCCATTTTTGTAATTTAAAAACCAAAACAACAACAAAAAAAAATAAATCCTTTTTTTTTCGACCAAAAACCTTTCTTTCTCCATTGTATCATAATATTAACCCTTTGATTTTCTTTAAGAATCTTTTTTTCTTATCATTATTTTTTCGAAGAAGAAGAAGAAAAATAACCAAATGACAACCAAAGATTGATTTTTTTAATGCAATAAATAAAATATGATTGAAAAATTTGTGTTATGTAATGTGTAATGTGCGAATTAAATTAAAAAATGACGGATATTGAATTTTAAAAGAAGCCAAAAAAATCACATGATTTGACCAATTTAAAAAGGAAATGTAATGAATGAAGGAATTGTGTTTGTGCTTGTCTGTACTTGTTTGTACTGGACAATAATTCAATTTTAATTCAAGAAACAATGAAATTCAGAATGAATCCAACATTGCCCATTCAATCAATTATTATTATGCCATGAATGATGATAACATACAAGACGTAATTTGTGGTCACCACAATCGCCATCGACATAATCATCATCAGCTGAAATGTGGAAAAACATGAAATTCCCTTTCAATTTTTTTTCCAAAAAAGGAAATGCAAGATCCTGCATGAAAAAAGAGACACAGAAAAACAAAAAAACATTTCAACATTTGTTGATTGGATGTGTCAGGGTAATATGGAAAAACTTGTACTCGGATTATTCAGTTTTTGTTTTCTCTGAATGAAAAAAACTGAAATACAGAAAAAAAGCCAAAAAGAGATCAGTGAAAGCAAAATGGATGAATTCAAGCGTAACAAGCAAGCGATAGTGACATTGGCCAATTTCCGAAACGAAAAAACCAAAAACAAAAATACATTTCGGCTATTCCGATATTAATCAACAACTTGATTTGGCTATTTTGCTATTTTGACTTTCTCTTTTCTTGTTTCTGTTGTTTTGTCTTTCTGGTTGACAGTTTCAGATGGATTGAATCCTTTTAAATTCATTGAGTCAAGTGATATCGTTTCAGATTCGGTGTATTAAACGATTTTCTCTCGTCGTATGAATGGTGACCTTTTTTTTGTGCGTTTCTTTTGATGTGTGAAGAAATGATGATAATGACAAACATCACTATTATTGATTATCGATATTCATTATCATTGATCTTGACATTGATGATTGTATCGCTAACATTTTTCGGTAGTTTTTCTATAGATGAAAATGAATTTGAAATTAAACCAGATTTTAATCTTGATTCACCAAAAGTTGCTGGTATGGATGAATTATTACCAGGGAATTTGGCCCAAACATCTGGTTTACCATCAACAGCACCACAACCACAAAATGAAGTTCGTGATATAAGTGGTTGGGGTATGATTGGAAAAATTCATCCAAAAATATTGATAAAAGATCAATTGATTAAACAATATCATAATCGACCATTAGATCCACGTTATTTACATTTACAAAATTATGGAAATTTACAAAATTCTGTTCAATCATCAACAACAACAACGACAACAGCGAATAAAAATTTGGCCAATAAATTATTTAATTTTTGAAGAAAAAATACAGATCCCGTTACGCCATCTATCGGTTCGGAACACAATTATTTCAACAAATATGAAATTTTTGAAAAAACACGTTTTTCCTTTCGTTTTTTGTAACTAAAAATAAATTTTTGTAATTAAAAAAATAAAAACTTTTTCAACATTTAAAATTTCTCATTTTATTTAAAATATTATTAATGTAAAATAAACAGAGAGAGAGACTAGGTAGAATGATGTTTTTAGTGTTTGTTTATATTATTTTTGATAGTTAAAATTGAATCAAACTTATAATGAAAGTGTAGTTTTGTTTGAAAGTAATGAAAATTCTGGACATTATTTTTTCTGAAGTTTTCACGTTTTTATGATGATGAAGAAAGGGTGATGATTGTTGAATTTTTGTCAGTGAAAAACGATTGAAAGTGAGTGTGTATGCGTGTGTCAAATAATAATTTTGTAGTTTTTTTGTTTTGTTTTGTTAATAATTATCATCATTATTTTTGTCAAAATTACAAATTACAAATGAATAAATAATTAATTTATAAATTGTGATTTATTTTGCAAATAAATAATTAGTTTTTTAATTAAATAATAATTAATAATAATTTTGATGATGATGATGATGATATGTAATATTGATCATCAATCGATGATGATAATAATTGATGAGATGAAAATGTCGAAACCATTTCAACTAATAATATGATTTAATTTTACAATGATGATGATGACCAGAATCAATAATAATTAATATTCAAATCGATAATCAATCAATCGATTTGATTGATTGAATCATGTATCATTACTATTATTACTATTATTATTTGATGAACAATAATAACGTTTATGTGCTAAATATGAATTACGATATGTAAATGAAATATTACATGCATTACAATATCTACTATCTAAATCATTATTATCATTATTTTTATTTGTTGTTGTTGTTGTTTCATTTGTTGTTGTTGTTGTAGCAGCTGTTGTTGTTTTTTTGTTACCTGCAATTGATAAATTATTGGTAACAGAATTCTTCTTCATTGATGATTCTTGTAATTTATTATTTATATTATTATGTTTTATATCGATTTGTTTATTTGATTTTGATGAACAATCGATAGCGGATGATGGAATACAACCATTCATTTGTAATTTATTTGGTGTTGGTGATTTTGATTTTATTATTGAAAAATCTTGTGATTCAACACAATTATTATTATTATTATTAATCATCAGTAGATCATCAGGTAATGCGGATAGATCAACATTACCCATTAAAACATCCATTGCTTCTTTAACTAATTGTTGTTGTTGTAATGATGATAATGATGATGATGATGATGAACCATTAATTTCTTTATGTACTAATTTTATATGTCTAATAACATTTCCTTTATAATTGGATTGATATGGACAAAATTGACAATTATGATTCTGGATTTGTTGTTGTTGTTGTTGTGAAGACTGTGAGGATTGTTGTTGTTGTTGATTTTCATTAATCAATGATGATAAGCTTGATGCTTTTTTCAATTGTTGTTGTTGTTGTTGTTCATCAATAATTTGTTGTTGTTGTTGTTGTTGTTCTTTATTTCTTCTTGCTGTTGATTCTAAATAATTAGTAACAGTACTACGTATAACACTATCAAATGTTTCATTTGATGAAATTGATTGATTTGAATGGCATGATGATGATAATAATAATTGTGAATCTAAATTATTACTACGACGTCGTTGTCTAGCTGGATTTGTTAATGAATTTCCATGACTTGAACGACGGCTAACCGAAGGTTCAGGTAGATCAGTATTCTGGACAATAAAATCCTCTTCAAATGAACCAGTTGATGATAATTCTTCAGTATGTACTCGAACATGTGTACGCATACCACGCATTGTATGTCCTTTATAACCACAAATTGTACATTTATATGTTTGTAATGATGATGCTGATGTTGTTGCTGTTGTTGATGTTGATGTTGATGATGATGATGTTGTTTGATTGATTGATGATGATTTTTCTGGTTTTGTATCCAAACGTAGATCAGCACTACAAACATGTGCAGCCAATGTTTCCGGACTAACATATGATGCTTTACATTTATGACAATTATAATCACCAACAATCAGACCATTGGTTAATGAAGCACCGGTTTTTGCACCAACAACCGCTGCTGCTGTAACTAATGCATTCCATTGTTGTGATAATGATGTTGGTGATGTAAAATCTAATAATGCTTCAGCAGCGGCTGCTGCTGCTGCTGCTGAAGTTGGTGGCGTTACCGAAGCAGCAGCTCCAAGCGAAGCGGCTGCTGCCAATAATTGTGGAGTTAATAATGATTGTGGTGTTGTGGAAATACCGGATGGAACAGGTGATGTTGGCAATGGACTAACAATACCGGTTGCCGGTGATAATGGTGCCGATGGTACAGCAGAAACAGCGGCAGAAGCTGGACCCGCTACTGTTGATCCATTATTACGTTTCAAACAATAATAAGTTTGATGAGCATAAAGATTATCATATGATGTATATTTAATACCACAAGCAGCACAAAAATATTGAAAAATAGCCGATTGTTGTTTGGTTGGTGAAAGCATCGATGATGAAGCAGCCGGACTAACCGATGCAGCTGCATCACGTGATGATAATATTGATGGTGATGATGTTGATAATGAAAGTGTTTCATTATCCGGATTTAAACCTTGTGACTTTCCAATCAATTCGGATGGTATCAACAAATTTGTTGATGATGAAAATTTTGTCGATGATGGTATTGAATATGATAATGATGATGATGTTGTTGATGATGCCGATGTTGGACGATTATTTATTGTTGTTGTATTATTGTTAATACTGCTGTTATTATTATTATTATTATTTGTAACAGTAGTTGAATTATTATTATGTTGTTGTTGATCCAGTGTATTAATCGTTAAATCGGGTATTCTTCTTGATGCACAATATAATTTTTTATGTACTAAATAACTTTCATGTTTATAGAAAACAATATTACATTCTTCACAACGTGAATTTCCTTGTTTAACAACAACATCAACATGTGATGATGATGATGATGATGATGATGGTGTTGAACTGATTGATGGTTGTTTGATTGTTGAATTATTTATTGGATTCGGAATCGATGTTACATTTGATTGACCACTATTTGTTGTCAATGCAGCCATAGCCATTGCAAGATATTGTGCAAAAGCTGGATTTTCATATGGATTTGATTGTAATTGATTATCATCGAATTGGGTATGAGAACTTGAAGATGATGGTAGTAAATTTGAATTTGTTGTTGTTGTTGTTCCCGAACCAATCACAGAATTCATTGATTGCATCATTGCAAATTTCTGTAATAAATTGTTCATATGCTCATGGAATGTTTGCTGTTTATTCGTTAATGATGATGATATTGATTCTTCATTTTCCAATTCTTTTTTTACTGTTGATGATGAATCAGAAGTATTTACAAACATCATCATTAAATCTTGATTATCTGATTCAGATTTTGAACGTTTTGTTATCAATGAACTAGATAGATCTAATGGTTGTTCAAGATTTGCATCCGAATGTGAACGTTTTGCTAATTTTTTAAAGGGAAAATATTAAAAATTTTGATAAAGAATTTTTCCAGAAAGAAAAATCTTACCAATATTAGAATGTGAAGATTTTTCATTCTTCGTTGATGATGATGATTTATTTGTTGTTGATGAAAGTTTTGTCATTGATTTACTTGATTTTATTGATTTACGCATTTCATCAAATGTTGTTATGAATGGTTGCATCGTTGTTGATGTTGATGATTGATTATTAAGACCAATCGGAAACATTAATGATGATGTTGATGATGGTGCAAGATTTTTAAGATTTTCAACTATTGATGAATCAAGATTTGCTGCTAAACTAGGTAATGGTTCAAATGTTGTTGTTAAACTATTAAAAATAAATGGTATTAATATTAATGGATTTGTCGATATAACAATATAAATTGGTGTTGTATTATGTATAGATTTATTGATCTGTTGTGCCATTCCATTGATCGGTACAACTGTTGTCGATGATGTAGATGATGATGATGTTGATTGATTACCGATCGGTAATAAACCGGGAAATAATGAATGAAAATCAGTATATTTATTACATTCATCTGAAATGATTTCATTTGTTGTTGCTGTTGATGATTCATTATTTATATTTGATTCTTGTATTAAATCATTTGATAAAATACTACTACAAGAATGTTTATTATTATTTTGTATTGTAGAATTTATTGATGAATTTGTTGTTGGTGATGATGATGAAAATGTTGTTGATAATGGTGGTGATGAACCAATACCTGATGATGATGATGTTGATGTTGATGATGATGTTTGTGATGATAATTTATTACAATTATTATTACCACCACTGTATGTCATATTTGATTGTTGTTGTTGATTTGAATTTGAATTATTTAAATTTGATTGTTGATTGATCAATGATGATGATGAACCGATTGATTGCTGCTGTGTAATCAGATGATGTCTTGATGAACAATATAATTCCTTATGAACCTGGTTGAACGAAACGAAACGAAAATTTAAAATTTTTTCATTATAAAAATGTTATTTTTCAAACAAAAATCAATGAATTTTATATCAGAAAAAAAGTTATTTTCATCATCAATTCATCAATCATATCATCATCATATTGAATGTATTTATGTCCGCAAAAGGAAATTTTTGTTTCAAACAACAACAACAAAAAACAAAAAAAAAACAAAATAAACAAAAATAATCAATTTGTTTCATTCGTTCATTCATTTCATTCATTCATAAAAAGATAAAATCGAATCATTGATGATGATGATTAATAAATACCTAAAATGGATAATCATCATCAACATTATAATCAAAATTGTCGACGAAAAAAAGAAAAACTGTATTTTTATATCTTTGGTTTTCAAATCAAATCAATCAAATCATGTCCCCAAAAAAAAGTTGAGAGTTTGGTACACGCACACACAGTGATCGATATCGATTGATGGATATCGATTTTTTTTTCGTTATCTATAAAGTTTTATATTAATCGATTGTGATTATAAGTCATTAGAAAGAGAAAGAAAAGAAAAGAAAGTTTTATCTTTTGAAAAAGGAGTATCATTTGATGATGATGATGATGATGATGACAATGACATTGGCAGATTTGAATAAATATCGACAAAATGAAAAAAAATCAATAAATGTGTGACGTCCATTTTTGGATTATCATCAAGATGGATATCAAGATATCATCACATCGGATCATTCAATATTTTTTTCCAATTCCAAATATGTCTTTGAATCCATTCATCGTGTGTGTGTGTGTGTGCGCGCGATTTATCAATAATCATTAGATAGATTATCATTTTAAAAAGTTTTTTATTTTGCTTTTTTTTTAATATAAACATTTTGATTCCGGGCACAATGTTTACACAAGAGATCAATCTTATTTAGGTGTTGGCTATATCGATACGAATCAATCAATCAATCAATTTAATCAAAAAAATCAATCTTGATTGATCGATCGTCAAGGTTAAAGATCAGAATGTATCGCTTAGTCATGTGACATAATGTACATTTATTTTCAAAAAAAAAAAAAAAATTGACAACCAAAATATAATTAGTTTTTTTCTTTTGGTTATCACATTTATCAAACATTTTCAAAATCAATCAATCGATCGATCAATAAATCAATCATTTTTTACTTTTCGTTGTTGATGATGATAACATCTGTATATCGAAATAAATGAAAAGCTGTTATCAATGTGACAATCTTGCAATGGCTTTATCATTTTTTTTCATATTTCAGACAACCAACCAATAGACAGATTATTAACCCTTGGAAGCAAAAACATTTTTTTTCATTCATTTAGTATTTTGTACTTTTGATGACAATTTTTGTCAAAATAGTTGCCCATTGATTAATTAAATCATTTCATTTTTGTTGGTGGTGGTGATCGATAATTTCGGGTCACCACCACAGCAAAAAAAAAATCAACCAATCATTATTCTAATGGAGTTATATATTTTAGATTGATATGATAGTAGTATCGATAGATTATCAATGATTAATCAATACTATTAGTTTGATTATAAATGTTTGCTTGTCTGTTGTTTTGATTGATCGATTGATTAGAATTTGACTGTTTTTTTTTTCTCTTTTTCTTTCTTTATCGATCATATATCGATCGCAAAAAAAACTGAGATATTGATAAAACACATGATTGTCGATCAAAGAAATAAAAAAAAACTGAATCACAATTTTTTTTCTATGATGGTAAAATTATCTTTGATTCGATCATTATCATCAGAACAAATTGGCCACGAGTGAATATTTTGGCCAAACCACACATACATACACACAAAGTTTTCGCGTGCCTCATTCAAATAAAATTGTTTTGTTTGCTTGTTGAAAATTCCATCATTTAAATTGAATCAGGTCAAGTCAAGCCAAACAAAACAAAACAAAACAAAACAAACAAACGAAAAAGACATTTACATAATGTATAAAATCGCTATCGGGAAAAGATAAATATCACAATATGATAATGTAGAAAAATCCTAAACAAACTCTAAAATCGAAATCAATATTAGATTGATAAAATCTAAATCGAAATGTCCAGTAAAAAAACAAACAAATAGGATCTAACCAAAACCAAAAAAAAAATCAATCGATTTAATCGATGATACAGGTTCTCATTGTTTCATTGTTCATCATCGATCCATATCAGGAGAGATCAATAATCTTTTTTTGTTTTTGAATCGATAATTTTTCGATATATAGAAAAAACATGATTACATAATTTTCAGATGAAAAATTTAGTTGATCATGATATTTTATGGTGTTTTTTTGTGGTTAATTTAACTATTTTAACCGGAAATGTTGTAATCAGTTGATCAACAATAACAACAACGAAAAAGATTGATTGTAACATCCGGTGATAATCGGATTAATTGGGAATTTTTTTTTGTTTTCAGTGCACAAAGATAACAACAACAATTATAATTCATCATCAGGATGGTTCATAAATGATGATGCAAGTCAGAGAGAGAGAGAAAAACGATGACAAAGATTTTCATATAATCGACGGGCAATGGGAATTTTTGCTTTTCATTATCACTTACGATAATCATTCATCATCAAAAAGTCATCGATCATATTGAATATCATGATGATTATGATGAACAACAGGATTGATGTTCGGTTTTTTTTTTGTTGTAAAACAGAATATTCAGAATGAATTCTGTCACAAAAAAAAAGATAAACTCTCTTCTCTCCCATCACTCTTTTTTTTCCACCATTCATTCAATCATTGTCCAGATTATTTTTGGCTTTTTCGTTTTTTGGTTTCACTCAAGAAAATCATGATCATTGATTATGATCAATTGATAAAAAGATAACTTGGTTTTTTTCACTTCTTCTTCTTCTTCTGTCTCTCACTATCAATCAACAGAAAAATTTCTAGAAGAAAACTGAATTTGTACCTACAAATCAAACCAGAGTGAGTGAAATGAATGAGAGAAAAAACAAAAATATCATGATGAAATGTACATAATGATATTATCTAAATATAAAATTTATTAATTAAGATATTTTTCAATCAAATTCATGTGACTTTTTTTTGTGAATTTTTTATTTGCATATATGCATAGTTACATATACATATACACTACTGATGAAACAGCAAGTTAATCAATGAACAAAAAACAACAACAAAAAAACAACAAACATACCTTATAGGTTTTGATTGACATAAATTGTATATTACATTCTGAACAGAATCGTTGTCCAGGATTATTATTATTATTATCATCATTATTATTATTATCAACATCAATATGGCCATAAGATTTTATTAAATTGGCTGATTTATTTGTATTGTTGTTGTTGTTGTTATTGTTATTATGAATAGATGATGTTGTTTTCGATAAAAATGTTTGAAATAATGTTTGCAATGATAATGGATCTGATTGAAATTTTGTAATGATATTTTTATTTGTAAACAATTCATGATTATTGAAATGTGATGATTTTGTTGTTGTTGTTGATGATTGACCAGAATTTTTATTATTATCATTATTAACTGGAGTGGAAACATCACTTATATTAGCACTTGATGTTGTTGTATGATGATGTCCAATAATCTGATTGATTACATCAACATTATCATTATTATCAACATTGTTGCACATAAATTCATTAAAACTACCATTCAATTGTTTATAAATGAATGATTGAAGAATTTGACGTTTATCATCATCATTAAGATGGAAAAATGTTTCCTGAAAATTTGGTGAACAAGCAGAAGCAGCAGCAGCAGCTGCTGCTGCTGCTGCAGCAATTGTCAATTGTGAATTTAATGATTGATTATTGACCATTGGGGAATGTGATTTTGTCATCAAAGAAGAAGGTGATGATGATCTTGATGATTGTCGTTGTTGTTGTTGTTGTTGTTGATTAGATTGTTGTTGTTGTTGTTGTTGTTGTAAAAGGGTAAAATTTTGAAAAATTTTACGAAAATTTTCATTATCAAAATAATTTAATAATTGATCGATTTGATTAGTTTTTTGTTGACCAATAAATGTTGTTGTTGAATCATCAACAATCATATTATGATGATTATGTTTTGATTGTTTATGACGATTCGATGATGATGATTGTTGATCTTGTTGTTGTTGTTGATGATGATTATTATCACAGTTTTCATCATTACAATCGATTATTATTGAATCATTTTGTTCATTGTTTAAATGGATTGATGATGATTGTATACCACCACCACCATCATCATCAATGTTATCATCATCATTACCATTATTATTATCATCAAATTCTTCTTTTAATTCAATTTTCATACGTTTAAATACTTCAGATGGATCAAAATTATTCATAAGTTCATCATCATCATCATCATCATCATCGTTATCATCTTCGTTGTTGTTGAATGTACTACCACGAATTTCATGTTGATCATCATCATCATTGTTTAACATTGATAATCTTAGATTTTTTTGATGTTGATGATGATGATTATCATCGAAAATATTTTGACCATCATTATCATCAATGGCAGTAATAACAGGAGCATCATCAACAACAACAACAGCATCTTTGATTGTTGTTTGCAATTCTTCATCATCATCATTATCATCATTACCATCACGATTATTATCAATTTTAGTATTGTGAATTTCTTTGTTTTCGGAATGTTGTTGTTGTTGTTGTCCTTCAATTTGTTGTTGTTGTTGTTTTGATTGTTGATTATCGCAACAATCATCAATAGATTTACGTTTTAGATGCGATTGTTGACCACCACTATGTAATTGTCGTTTATTATCATTATTATTCGAAGTTGAATTTGTTAATATCATATTCTTTTTCCTATTCAACATAATTTCATTACGTTTGGATTTGGATTTTGTTTTCGCTTGTTGTTGTTGTTGTTGTTGTTGTTTTAAAATTTTACTTTCATCCAACAAAACATTAATGATAATATTTTCATTTTCAATATTATCACCATTATTATTATTATTATCATTATTATCATCAACAGCAACAACAACATTTTCATTATTTACAACAACATCATCATCATCAACAACATTAACATTCATCGATAATGTTAATTTTGGTGTTAATAATGATGATGTTGATGATGTTGTCGATGTTGATGTTGATGACGAACAAACATCATCATCATCATCATCATCATTGTGGCTATGATGATTATCATTTTGTATTGTAATTTGTCGTTGTTTAATAATCAGATTATTATCATTAACGTCATCATCATCGTCATCATCCAGATCATCATCATCAACATCACCATCATCATTATAATCATCACTAATAATAATCATATCATCTTTATTTGTATTATTACTTTCATTATCTATAATGGTTAAATTTATTGTTGATTCATTATTATTATTATTATCACTTGAATCCAATGATGATGATGATGAATATTTTTCTTGATTATCAACAGCATTTTCTTTGTTGCTGATTGTTGTTGTTGTTGTTGATCGTTGTTGTTGTTGTTGTTGTTTTTCACTAATTATCGATTGATTATTATCATTGTTTACATTGATTGGATTCTCTGGTGATGATGAAGACGATGATGATGAGGAGGATGAGGAAGAAGAAGATGAAGATTGATTATTATTCAAACTTGTTGAATGATGTGGATGATGATGATGATTAATTTTCAATGTTGTTGATGATGCAGATGATGATGAAGAATATTTTGAAGATTTAAAATGATGATGAAGATGTTGTATACGATGATGTTGATGATGATGATGATGATGACGATTTTGATTCGGATTATTATTAACACCAGAATCCGATGATGATGATGATGATGATGAGGATAATGATAATACAACACCAGAATCACTACTATTACTAATTTGATTATTTTGATTTATAATTGTTGTTGCTGTTGTTGTTGATGATGGTGATAATGGTAATGGTGATGATGGTGATGTTGATGATGATGATGATGTTGTTTGATATTTATTATTAAATGTTGAAACAGGTGGTGGAATCATTACTGTCGATGTTTTTGTTGTTGTTGCTGTTGTTGATGATGATTGTGATAATATCATCGATTCTGCCATTGTTTTATCCGATTCTATTTGTTGTTGTTGTTCAGTTAGTTGTTGTTGTTGTTTATCAACATTATCCGATTCAATTAAAGTAGTTTCCGATGTCAATGGTATTGGTGAATATTCTATAATCATTTTTCAAAACAAAACAAAAAAAAATTGATAATTTAAAAAATCAATTTTAAAATCAATTCAGATTCTTGGCTATTTTTAGCTTGTAACTTTTTTTACAGAAAAACAAACAAACAAACAAATCATCAAATATCATCTATCAACCAGCAAAAATTTGTATTAGTTTCTCTCTCTCTTTCACACACACACTGTGTAACGATGAAATAATTATAATTATAATTATTATTATTCAAGAAAATCAATCAAATCAATCAATCACATGCTTCATCATTTATCGATTAGATCAAAAAATAATTCATTATTATTATTATTTCTATTTTGGATAAATATAATTATTGATTATTGATTGATAATCGAAATATATAGTGAGAGAAACAAAAAACCACTGTAAATGATTGATTGAAAAAAAAATCATCAATCAATCAATCGATCGATCGATCGACCAATCAATCCATTTTATCAAAAATTTTTTTTATTTTTTTTTTCTTCTTCATTAAAAGTTGTCAAGTGAAAATCATTGAATCAAATGAATTTATCATCAAACTGATTGATTAAGCTGAAATTGATTGATTGACCAATCGATTGCAAAAAAAAAAAATTTGGTGATGAAATCTGATAATCAGATTTTCTTTTTCTTAGTAATTTTGCGTAATCGAATGCAAAAAAAACTAGAAAATGATCAGAAAAAAAACATAACTAATGTTGAATTATATGATAAAAATGATAAGTGATTTTGATTTTGATCAAATCAAAAAAAGCAAGCAAGCAAAACTAAAAAAATCATAATCATTTTTTGTTTTTCTAGTTAAAATATCAATCCTATGATGGCGCTATTCGTTCGTCAATCAAAAAAATTTAAAAATTTGAAAATCAAAATTTTAAAAATCAAAAATTAAAAATCAATAAAGTAACTCACATTATGATTAACGAAATGAGATCATTCAATTTTTGTTTTCAATGAAGATCATTTTTGTCAAAACAAAACAAAAAAATTTAAATTTTTGAAAAATTTTCAAAAATCACATCGACCAAATCAAATTTTGAAAAAAATCATATCAAAATGAACAAGATAAACACACATTTGCACATCAATGATGTAAAAGTGATGAGATCGAGATGTGGAAAAACATTAAGTTTTTACGTTTTTTGATTCAAAGAAGAAAAATTTTTAAAATAATTAAAAACCAATTACCGATGAAAAAATTCTTAGCAAAAAAAATTTCAAACAAACATTCATTCTTTCAAAAACAAACGATGTTTATCATTCTACGACAAGATTATAACTGAAATGTGTGATCTGATCATTGATGATGATCATCATTGATGATGGTCTACGAACTAAGCAAACTCTTGTCAGAGAGAAAAAAAAACTATAATTTCTGCTTGTGTGTATGTATGTGTGTTGTGAATCTTTTTCGTCTGCTACTGTTTTTGCTGCTTCTGCTGCTGCTATTCAATGGAAAAAATATTCTCTCTAGATTTTTTTTTCATTCAATTCACACAATGAATATATATAGCGAGAGAGAGAGAAATGTGTTAAAGTAAAGTAAAAATTACGGTTTTTAAAAAGATTTGAATCAAACATGGAAAAAACACAACAAAACGGTTCCTTAAACATCCATATTTCATTCAGAAAATTCTGAAATTGGGAAAAAAATAAAGATTTTTGGTTTTTTGGTTTTTGGTTTTGTTGATGATAAAAGGCGGAGCATCATTGAAATTTAAATTAAAGAAAATAGGCGTAGCTTTTCAGCCAAAAAAAAAATCATAAAATTTTCATTTCAAATTTAGCCTAATCAATCAATCAATCTAATCGATTTTTATTTGAAAAAAACTTTTTTTTTAATGAAATAAAGATCCTGAACACACACCTTAAATGCTGCGCATAAGAACAAAAACACACACCTAGAAAACAATTAAAAAAGGTTTGATTATCGATTTTGACAAATTTTTTAATTTTGGTTGAAAAAATCCAAAAGATTTGGTGGACCAGATTAGCAAAAAATGAAAAATTTAATGAAAAAAAAAAATTCAGTTTTGTTTATCGATTGCAAAATTCAAACAATATCTGATCGATTAAGTGACTTTATTTGGTTTTTCTGCTAATTTTTTTGAATTTTTTCTCCAAAAAATGATCAAAATCAAAGAAAAGTTTATGGAAAACCAAATATGTTCATCAAACACCGGCATTATCATTCGTTCAATAAGATTTGAATATTTTCAGTTTTTCAGCAGAAAAAAACTTTTCCTCAATCAGATAATATTTAAGAAAAAAAAGACAATATGGCATTCTATCGATGGGATAATCAATGTGAAGAGAGAAAAAAGATGCCAAACAAAACGCAAATCCAAACCGCATCATTTTTCAAGAGATTTGAACAAAAAAATCAAAAAACTAGAAAAAATGAATAATCATGACCAAATCTATAAAGAAGAAAATTTTTAGCCAAATAAATGATTGAATTACATTGAACAAATTGACATTTAAAAAAATATGATTACTTTTTTTTGGAAAATTGATAGGATTTTTGTTTGTTTTGGTTTTTTATCATTCAAACCACACACACAAGATTACCTTCATTTCCACTAACAAAAAAAAATTTGATGGTTAAAAAAAGATATTTAGAGCAAACAAG